AGTTGTTGCTGTTGTTGATGATGTTGTTGTTGAGCTCTCATTACTGATGAATAATGATTGTTGATCCCCACCCTCTGGTGACCATTGTGTTCTTTCAATAGAAGTGCTACCCCCGGGGCTGGCACCCGTTTTTTTATAAGGGAAAGTCGTCCTCCTCAAACTGGGCCCATGGCCCCCGAGTTACAACAACAACGGCTCCCGCATGATACTTCCTCACAATTTGTTGCCTAATCGCGCTCTCGCGCGGGACTTCCTCACAGTTCATGTACGCTCTCGCGCTCTCGCGTGGGACTTTCTCGCAATTTATTCAGACGATGCGCCCTCGGCGCTCAGGAATCACGCTCTCGCTTTGGCTTTTCTCACGATTCATTTGGGAACCGCGCTGTCGCTCGAGCCTTCCTCATGATTCATGCAGGACCCACGCTTCAGCAACCCGCCTGCTCGACCTCGTCGCCTGGGCCCGCCTTCCCGACCTGCCCGCTGTGGGTCTGCCCACCCGATCTGCCCGTCTGGTTCTACCACTTGTTTTCTGCTCCTTGCCCCCCTCCTGCTAATTTGTCTCGTGCTCCATTCTTCTCCCTACCCCTTCCACCCATCCTCTCTTCCCTTACTTTAGGGGCTGTGCTAGATGCACGTGGCAGGTAAGGAAGATATACCCCTAAGGGGGTACGATCGAAGACAACGAGGGCGGGTACCGAGGGTTTGGGATACACGTCTTGATTGGCACGTGAGCAGATCGGAGCGAACAGTCTTAACATGATTGTTGTTGTTATTGTGGTTGTTGTTGTTTTGAGTGTTTGTTTGATTGCTTTGTTTATTTACTTGTTGATGGCTTTAACAATGTTGCTCCTGATGACGATGATGATGGTGATAATGCTGCTGCTGACGACGACGACGATCATGATGAGTAGGATGAGGATGATGATGATGATGCTGCTGATGATGATCGTGATGGTGATGGTGATGGTGATGATGATCGTGATGATGATGATGATGATGATGATGATGATGATGATGATGATGACGATGCTGATGATCAAACTGATGATGATGATGATGATGCTAATCATGATGCTTATGCTGCTGCTGATGATGATGATGACGATGATGCTGATATTGATGATGATGGTAATGGTGATGGCGATGATAATGAAGATGATGATGATGCTGATGAGGAGGATGATCCTTATGATGTTGATGATGCTGATGATGATGCTGATTGTGATGAAGATGATGCTTACTCTTCTTATTCTTGTTGTCATTATTATCATTACTTTTATTTTTTTACTTTTCGTTATCATTTTTAGTATTCTTATTCTTACTTTCATTATGAGTATGAGGATTCGTCTTAGTCCTATCATCAACATCATAATTCTTATTATCACTCTTCTTTCTCATATTCTTCTAATTATCACTACGAGGAATAGTATTCGGATGATGACTATGATGATGCTGCTGCTGCTGATGATGATGATGATGATGATGATTGTGATGATGCTTACGATGATGATTATCATGATGCTGATGCTGATCCTGATGGCTGCTGCTGCTGATGCTGCTGCTGCTGATGATGATGATGATGATGGTGATGATGATGGGCGGTGGTGGTGGTGGGCGGCGGCGGCGGTTGCGGCGGCGAGCACGACAACGACGATGATGGATATTGGTGGTGATGCTGGTGGTAGTCAGAGGATGAGGTATGGAGGAACAGGAGAGCCTCCCTCCCGGCCTCTCCCGAGCTCCTCCCCCTGGGCCCGGGGCGGGGGCCCAGGCCTCCGATGCCGTGTTTTGTTCCGTGCGGGGCCCCCAGACCTCTGGACACGCTCCCCCAGGACCGGTTTTTTGTCCCGAGTCCCGTCCCGGCGAGGGCCCCCAGACGCTGAAAGCGACGAGAAACTTCTGGCCTGATTCTTCCAAGACGTTGGAGGTCTAGGTGCGGGGCCTCTCCCTAGCCATGCGGGGCCGGGCGGGAGTGCATGCTTGCTTCCAGCCTCGTGATTCCCCCCCCCCCCCCCCCACCCTGCGGGAGGGGGGTGCCGTCCGCGCGACTCCTCCGCCTCCCTCTCCTCCTCCTACTCCTCCCTCCTCCTCCTCCTCCTCCTTCCTTCCCCCCCCTCCTCCTACTCCTCCTCTCTCCTCTCTCCTCTTCTCCTCCTCATCCGCCTCCTCCTCCTCCTGCTGCTTTCTCCTCCTCCTCCTCTCTCCTCCTCCTGCCTCCTCCTCTATTCCTCTCCTCCTCCTCCTGCTCCTCCTCCTCCTCTCCTCCTCCTCCTCCTCCTCCCCCTCCTCCTCCTGCCTCCTCCTCCCCCCCCTCCCCCTCCTCTTCTCTCCCTCCTCTCCTGCTCCTCTTTCTCTCCTCTTCCTCCGCCTCCTCCTCCTCCTCCTCCTCCTCCCTCCTCCTCCTCCCCCTCTCCCTCCTCCTCCTCCTCTCCTCCTCCTCCTCCTCCTCCTCCTCCTCTCCTCCTCCTCCCTCCTCTCTCCTCCCTCCTCCTTCCTCCTCCTCTCCTCTCCTCCTCCTCCTCCTCCTCCTAGCCTTCCTCCTCCTCATTCTCCTCCTCCTCCTCCTCCTCCTCCTCCTCCTCTTCCTCGCCCCTCCTCTCCATCGCCTCCCCCCTCCTTCTCCCCCCCCTCCCCTCCAATGAGGTCCGGGCCCTGGGAAGCCCACAGTGAAAAACTCCCAACATCAAAGCCGCCGTACCCATGTCCAGACCTCGAGCGGCTCGAAAAAACCGGGACGGTGTTTTTTTGCTGTTTTTGGCCTCTTGGGGCCCTCGCCGGGCCTCGGGACCGTCAACAAAAAGACTCGGGACGAAAAACTGGTCCCGGGGAAGTGTTCGGGGGGTCGGGGGCCCGTGCCTGGAAGAAATTGGCGTCGGATGTCTGGGTTTCGATGATCCTCAGGACGTGTGTTAGCCCACTGCGTGTTCACCCCGTGCAGCTCCGCCGCTGGCGTGCGTCCTGTGTCCGCCTTCGCTGCGCCGCCCATGCCGCGTGGGAGGGCCTCAGTGGACAAGCGCGCGTTGGCGCCAACGCACGCTCTGAGGATCGTCGGCCACTCTTTCCTCAGGACGCCGCACGCCTGGGCTTGGTTTTCGGGCCACAGCCCTGCTCTCTGGCGGCCGTTCGGGACGATCTGTGCACCCCCGGGGACGCCTTCGGCGAGGCGTGGAGCCGCTGGAAGGCACCCCGAGGGCGGGAAGCCGCTGAGGGCCGACGAAGTTGCCCGGAAACCTCGAACCTCGAACCTCCTCTCCTCCTCGTCCTCCTCCTCCTCCTCCTCCTCCTCCTCCACTCCTTGTCCTCTTTTTTCTCATCTCGCCCTGCCCCTTCTCCTGCTCCTCATCTTGTTCCTTTGCCTCCTCCACTCCTCCTCCTCCTCCTCCCTCCTCCTCTCCCTCCTCCTCCTCCTCCTCCTCCTCCTCCTTCTCCTTCTCCTCCTCCTCCTCCTCCTCCTTTCCCCTCCTTCTCCTTACCTCACCCCCCCTGGCCCAGCTGGAAGGCACCCGAGGTCGGAACACAGTTGAGAACCGACGATGGCGCCCGAAAGTCTCGAGCCTCGACTCTCCGATCGGCGGCCCCCACAAAGGGGTGGCGCCAGGGTGGATGGTCTTCTGAGAAGGCGGTTTTTTAATGAAGGCGGGGCTTTCTTAGAAGGGCCCGGGGGCTTCCAAGAACGCTCCCTAGCAGCTTCGTGGCGCTTCTACGAAACCCCCTGCCCTCTCAAAAGCCCCCCCTACCTTCTTTGAAGGCCATTCCCCCTCGCGCCACCCCTTTGTGCGCGCAGCCACTCCGATCCTCCTGGAAAACCGCCGAGAACCGACGAGGGCCCTCGGAAACCTCGAACCTCGACCCTCCGAATCTTGGACCTCGCACCTCCTCCCCCGATCCCGAGCCTTCCCGCCCCAGGTCCACGTGGTCGCCCACGGCGCGGTCCCCCGCCTCGCCCGCGATGGCACGGTCGCCTCTGGCGAGGGCCCCGTCGCCAGCGGCCCCGCCGCTGTCGCCGAGGGCGCAGTCGCCCACGGAGCCTTCGCCGGCCGCCGCCGCTCGTCGCCGCCACTGGTCAGCCGCCGCCGCCGCCGCCGCTCGTCGCCGTTGCCGTCGCCGCTCGTCGCCGTTGCCGTCGCCACCGTCGTCGTCGTCGTCGTCGTCGTCGTCGTCGTCGTCGTCGTCGTCGTCGTCGTCGTCTATTCCGTCGTCTGCCTCCCTGCTCCCCTTTTACCCGCTTCTCTCCTCTTTCGCCGTCCCCATCCCTATTCCCTCCTTGCCTCCTCACGTCTTGTGCTTCCCCCCTTCGCTGTCCTGGTGCAAGTCCTCATTTTTTTCCTTTCTGGGCAGCTCCATCTTCCGTGTCTCCGCCTCCCTCCGCTGTCCTCGGGCGCCCTGCCCCGCCCTCCTCCCTCCTCCCTCCTCCCTTACTCGAGCGGTATGCACTCTTTCCTCGCCTGCGTACCGCCCTGTCCTTGCCGGTGCCGCATTGGATCGCAAGGATCGTGTACCGCGCCCGTGTGTATTTACTAACACCTGCTTCAGACGCTTTGCATCCGTTTAGGGGAAAACGCATCCTTATATCTAGAACCTAGTTGGTAGTGGACCAGGTTCACTCCGGCTCCAAAACCACGGCCACCATCTGCCGCTTCGCTTCGTTGGCTATGGCTACCACCCTCCGTCGCTCCACATTGCGACGCCTGCAGGAGACGTTATTCAACGGCACGTCAGGGCTGGGCCAACCCATCCGCAAAGACACTACGTCGTGCCGTTCTGCGTGTCGTTCTACATCACGCTCTGCATCTGCCTTCAGCATCATCGCCTTCGTGCATGTCTTCCCGCTCATTGTGACAGGAAGCGTTACTGTAGGGTTCCGTCGGGGTATCCGCCCGTCCGCCAGGACCGGTGGACGACAACGTGCACAACCTGTATTTCAGTAAAGGCAACGCCAAAATTTACAAGGACCGCTCTACGACCCATCCCGGGCATGCTCGGACTGCGTCCTGTCAGTTCGCGGACCCCACGCTGCCAGTGCCCTTGCCCGTGGGGGTCCCGAGATAAGCAATCAAAGACGAGGGATCTGGCGAGTGTGTGGCTGGTACAGAGCGGGCATGCAGTGGGGAGTATGGGAAACGTGTTTTACCCCCCCGAGGTGCTGCTCTGGATAACATGAAGACTGGGAAGCCCTCGTTCCGAGGCACCGTACATCGCGACCCGATCCTTCGTTTTACCTACTCAGACCCGCAAGCCGGGCGGGACGGGATCCCGATGCGCATTCTTCCTATAGTCGATCGTGCAATTGGCGGTGCTCAGTACACTGACCTCACGACGTACGAAGAGTAATCCCGGTATTGTGGCGCGGGATGTTCCGAGTATGCGGTGCAGTGACACGACAGAAGCAGACGCCCAATGCGATGACGAGGAGGAACGCATTTGGGGCAGGTATCTTCGGCGACTCATGCAACGCCGCTTCAGGATTCCCGACCTCCATTACCTTTACGACATGTGGAGGGAGCTACAGTCGGGATGGAAGGACATCGGAGTCGGCATGTGCACCATTCCAAGCTGCATTGCCTGCATGGACGCAGGCTGTGGCAGCGGCAACGTGCGCCGCCTCTGTCCCTTGGGCCGCGAGCACTGGTCTCGAGTACATTTCCAGAAATGGGTTCGCGAGGAGATGATCAGGTCTAGGGCGAACTCGGACCTCGACGACTTTCGCCAGGCGGCCTATGTCCTGTCGCGCATTCCGGCATGGCGCGCGAGTGCGTGAGCGAATGGCCGCCAGGTGTCCCGATCCAGGGAGGTCTGATAAACGGCGACCCAGTGGCACCGAACATTTTCGTTGTGCGCAGCGTGGCCGAGCGATGGGGCCAGCCCGGGCGAGGAGGCGCGCGCCTCGGCTGCGTCGGCCCTGATAAACTTCAACCCGCTGCCGCAGGGGCGCATCGATAAACTCCTAACGACTTTCGACTCTCCGCCACCGGGCGCAGCAAGCTGGTCAATTCATGATCGGTTGCGAGGGATTCAGCTTCATCCTGCTGCGCGCCGTTGGCGTGTTGACGCCATGCTCCTGCAGCATCGCGACGTGGCCTGCCCCGCGAGCGCTCAGCAGCTCGCCCGTGTGACGGGGCAGCTGAGACGCCTTGATGGAGGGGCCGCCAGACAATCGCGCCTCGGAGGGCCTCTGCCCAGCGCCGCTCTTTTTTCGCTGGTGCGTTCGCGCAGGGGCAGAGCTGGGGCGGCATGAGTCCTGCTGCTCTGGGGTCGGCACCAAGCCCCGCCTGTGCCGCCTGAGGCCGTGTCTGGTGGCTGTGCCGCCAGCGCGGCGCTGCCGGCGCAAGGGGCGTGCCCGGCGGTGGAGATCGATCGACTTAGGCACCGACGCCGACGCCGCCAGGTTACTCGGCGAGGAGATGGCCGCTGACGACCCCGAGCTACGCGACATTCCCGTAAGACAACGTGGTGCGCACCTCTCCTGGGCTTGAGAGCGCGCCGGAGCGCGACGGCGCAGCTTCGGCGGCCGCGGGCCCGCGCGCCGCGCTCGGGGGCAGTCGAACGGAAAGGCAAAACCGCCCTTGCGTTTTTTGGCCACCTTGTCCGAGAACGACTTCCGGGAGACCTTCGCGGGCTTCGGGGAGGGCAGAGGCGAGGGGGATTGGGAGTTCCGGACCGCGGGCGTGGGTTCGAGCCGCCCATGCGACTTTGTGGGCCCCGACGGGGTGCGTCTCCAATGCCGCGGGTGTGATTCCGAGGAGCACCTCGCGTGCGATTGCCCCCGTCGCCGCCGACGAGGGCGCGCTCGCTTCCTCGGCGCCGACGCCCTGTCGCCGCCATCGGCCCCGTCGCCCTCGCCGCTTGCCTTTCTGGGGCAGAGCCGCCAGGGCCGACCGGGCAGCGGTCCGTGCCGGGGGCGCGCGATTCGGATGACCAGGGACACTTCCGGGGCTCCCCGCTCGTGGCCAGGGGCGCCGGGAACGGCGACCCATTGCTGGGCGCTGACCCCTGGAACGGCGGTCGGCCGACTCCAGCAGCGTCCGCGCCGCAGCCGTCAGCGCCAGCCGCTTTTCCGAGTTCTTCGTCGGGCGGTTCGCGGCAATTCATTGGCCGGCACCGTGGTCAATTTGGGTAGGCGTCGTCATCGTCGTCGCCTTCGCCGCGCGAAGCCGAATTGCCGCGACTACGTTGGGGGATGGTTGGCTTCGTTGGCCGTGTGCAAGTTTCTGCAGCTCCGGCGGCTCTGGCGACCCTGTCGCCAGACTGTCAGGCAGTGGCGGGGGTGGCGCAGCTGGCCGCGCGGGCCTCAGGGGCGCCAACGGCGCCGGCGGCTCCAGCAGATTCAGCGGCGCTGCCGCCGCCAGCAACGCCGCAGTGGTGGACGAACGTTGGCGGGGCATTCCCATTGGGGCATGCCTGGGGTCGCGACTGGGGAGGCGACCATAGCGCGCGAGTCGCCGCGCCCCCATCCCAATTTGCCGACTGCAGTTGTCGAGCTGGGCATGCGTGTCTCAGTCTCAGTCCTCGGCATCGGCGCTCCGCGTTGATCGAGCTCCGTGTGTCCGCCGCTGTCCGCGCGGGCAGCTGCGTCGCCGCCCGTGCCCGTGTCCCCCCGGGTCTTGGCTCTGTTCGACCAGAACAGCGCCGTCGACGTCAGCGGCCGCCCGGGGGAGTGACCATGTGCTTCGCTTGCCGCGGTGCCTGGGGGTTTGGCGGCGGCCGATCCGAGCGCAGCTGGCGCGACGCTTTCGACCGCGATCAACGACTGCACCTCGACGAGTTCCACGGCGCGCAGCTGGCGCTTGAGCGCGCGCGGCAGCGAGATGAGCAACGGCGCAAGGGCACGCAGAGTTTGGCGGAGACACCTGTTAACCCTCCTGTTCCAGCTGCTGCGTCGACTGCTGCGCCCCCCTCAGTAACGGCGTTCAGCTGCGACGACAGAGGGTGTCATATGTGCCAAGAGTCCTTTCAGCACGGCGAGTGGGTGGTGCGTCTGCAGTGCCGCCGCGTCCCGCGTCGAGCATGTCACTTGCAACCTTTGCAGAGCGCGGGCGCCCGTGTGGTGCGCTGCCCGGCGCGCCGCGAACAGGCCGGCGTCGTCGCCGAGTTCCGCCTCGTTGGCGTGGATCGCGCCGACAGGCCAGTATCCTGGGGCGCCTGCCCGCGCGGCGGCAGACAGTGCGCCCGCGGTGCCGGCGAATGCGCGGCCGGCCCGCGCGGCGTCGGACGGGGGCGTGCCGGCGGGGATCTCGCCGCAGCGCGACCTTGTGCAGTCTCCCCGACCATTTTGTGCAGTCTCCCCGGCCGGCCCCTGCCCCTGGGGCGGCTCGGCCAGACCTCGTGCGGTCGCTTGGCAGTGCGTCCAGCTTCTCGTCCGCAGCGAACACGGTGGTGCCCTGCGACGCCCCGCTGGATATGCGCGTGCCGCCCTGCAGGCAGGCCTTTCCGCGGTGGCCGACCCCGTCGTGCACGGGCTTGAGTCCGTCCAGTCGTTCGACGTGCTACCTGGCGAACGCCGACTTGCCGGGTGGCCAGATTGGCGTCGTCGTCGACGCCAGCGCCTGAACCAACCATTCGGGATTGCGTTTCGCCGTGGATCTGGCACGCGAGGCCCGACAGTCCAAATGGCAGCCCGCCGAGGAGAAGTTGTCGTCTCCCTTTCTCTTAGCAGGAGTCGGCAGCGGGTCGCAGGTAGCGGACTGCGGTGATCACTGCCGCGTCGCAGCGACTTCCCGCGACGGTGTGGCCTGTCAGCGCGGCGTGCGCGCCCCAGCCGTGGATGGCCGAGGTGCTGACCTTCCTGCCCTTCCTGCCTCCTTAGGTCTGCGGCCCGTGCGGTCCAGCGTCGCGGCGTTGGAAACAGGCGTTGACCGCGAGCGCCTCGCGTTTCCCAAACCATGCGGCTACGAGATCCCATGAGGCCCTGGCGCCATTCACTTCGACCTCGTGTCGGCGCCGAGTGGCCATGTGTGCGCCTTGCTCGACGACCGTGACGAGCTCGAGCCGCGCTCTGGGGGCCCGCCGCCCAAGCGGCTCGCGCAG